TTCTTCTTTGCAACACCCGCTGACTGCAATGATAGAGCTTGGAATAGCCAGGACAATTTTTAATATAACTCCGACTGGATTCGTCTGAAAGAAGAAAGTCATGTACAACTAGGATGCTTCGAGGGTGAGTAAAACACAAGCTAATATTCATTTTTGGGTGAACTAACCCTTTAAGAGTACCATAAGTATTTTTAGTGAAATGTCTGAGAATTATTTGGTGGCTATGCCAAATATAAATGAAGTGGTCAATTTTACCCATTAATTTAGCAACACATGCTCATTGGAAAAAACGTGCCTCTATCTACATTTTTGCAAAACTTAAAAAATCTACAGATACATACGATTCACTGCAGTTTCCAGCTTAAATGAACACTAAAGGCAGTAAAACACCAACAACTTTTATTCCTGTTCATGATCTGTAAACTAACAAATGTTCACATTTGCATCACATAATCAGCTCCATATGGATAGCTTTTCTGATGTAGTAAACTGTCTTGGTACCTCACCTGGTTAAGATGTGAAGAACTTGGAAACGAGTCTGTGAAACATGAGTCATCATAAAAGAGCTCGTAGAAGCAAGATAAAATGGCATGGTTGCTTTAGCAAATGTATTTTTATCTCACTTTTATTTTTGTTAACACTAGCAGTGAAGTTTTGGGTCCGGTTTAGTGTAGGTGGTATGTTATTTTTAACTGCAATAAAGCATTAACCTTACTAGGCGCTAATTATCGGACATATAATATTCTAACTGCTGCGATATGTACAACAACCAACATAAAATGTTGGGTAACACTTTATTTTAAGGAACAATTAATTCATTATCCTGCATGACTGTATTTTACATCCCTTAATCGTACCACAAACTTAACAACTAACCTTATTAACTATTAACAAGCAGTACATTAATTGTTTGTTTAGGGAAAACTTAGTTAACAGTGAATATGTGTTCTCTATTCTAAAGTGTTACCAAATGTTGCCACATTCACATTCAAACACAATTGTTGTTGTGTCACTCACTGGACATTTCACTTTGAAAGTGTCATGAAATGTGCAAGAAGCAATATAATATCATTTTGGAGAAATGTCACCACAGACACCTTTTTCTTTTTCTCAATGTTCCTGGTTTGAATGAAAAGTAATGTAATGTGAAAGTAATATAATGTAAAAAGTAATGAAACCAAACATGCCTCAAGAACCTTACAGGTACGTTCATCCAATTTCACCCTATTTACCCATTTTCATATTATAATCATGGCTGAGCTTTAGGGTTAGGTTTATGTTTCAATTGTATGTTTTTGTACGACCCTACTCTAGATTGTGACATCATGAGAGTAGGTTAAAATTCAAAAGCAGTTGGAAGGAGCACTGTAGGTTCAAATATATATATATATATATATATATATAATAACATATTATTTAAATAAAATTACAATTGAAAATAAATATAAATAAAATACAAATAAATAAAACAAAGATTATATTTACTTCTAAAGTCACTGTTTTTTTAGGTACAACAATATATCTGAATTACTTTTATTTGGGGACTTTTCTAAGCAATTAATTGTGATTAATCCAATTACTTAATTTGCATGTCATGCAATTGTTTTTATTCTTTTTTTAATACCTGAATATGTATTTTTCTTTCATGTATGACATGTTTGTATGGGTATGAGTACATCCAAGCATTAGATCACTCGCACCCAAAGCAGTTATTGTAAATGAAATGATTACAGATAATAGATTTGATGTACTCTGCTTGACTGAAATCTGGCTAAAACCAAATAATTATATTGGTCTAAATGAGTCTACTCCACCAAGCTACTGTTATAAGCATAATTATTTAGCACAGTGGCTAGATTAACAAATAACCAGACACCACCCGATTTAAAAATTCCCTCACAGTTTAATAGTAATGACTTTATGAATTTCTTCACTGATAAAATAGATAACATCAGAAATACAATAACAAATGTAGATTGTCTAATACTTCAGCTTCATTCATCGCACCAAAAGATAAACTGCAGTGCTTTACAACTATAGGACAGGAAGAGCTAAATAAACTTATCACTGCATCTAAACCAACAACAAGTCTGTTAGATCCTGTACCCACTAAATTACTGAAAGAGTTGTTACCTGTAGCAGAAGAACCGCTTCTCAATATTATTAACTCGTCGTTGTCTTTAGGTCAAGTCCCAAAACCATTCAAGCTGGCGGTTATTAAGCCTCTTATTAAAAAACCACAACTAGATCCTAGTGAACTGGCAAATTACAGACCCATCTCAAATCTTCCTTTTATGTCTAAAATTTTAGAAAAAGTTGTGTCTGCACAATTGCGCTCCTTCCTGCAAAAAAATGATCTCTATGAAGAATTTCAGTCAGGTTTCAGGCCCCACCATAGCACAGAAACTGCACTTGTTAAAATTACAAATGACTTGCTTCTTGCGTCAGACAAAGGCTGTATCTCATTGCTAGTTTTACTTGATCTTAGTGCTGCGTTCGACACTATAGATCATGACATACTCATAGATCGATTACAAAACTATACAGGTATTCAAGGGCAGGCTTTAAGATGGTTTAGATCCTACCTGTCCGATCGCTACCACTTTGTTCATTTAAATGGGGAGTCATCTCAATTATCACCAGTAAAATATGGAGTGCCACAAGGATCTGTCCTAGGTCCTCTGCTATTTTCGATATACATGTTGCCCCTTGGTAATATTATTAGAAAATACGGGATTAGCTTCCACTGTTATGCAGATGATACTCAACTATATATCTCAACAAGACCAGATGAAACTTCTAAATTATCTAAGCTAACAGAATGTGTTAAAAATGTAAAAGATTGGATGACCAATAATTTTCTCCTATTAAACTCGGATAAGACAGAGATATTACTTATTGGACCAAAAGACAGTACACAGAATCTCGTGGATTACAATTTGCAACTAGACGGATGTACGGTTACTTCCTCTACAGTCAAAAATCTGGGTGTTATATTAGATAGCAACTTGTCTTTTGAAAATCATATTTCCCATGTTACAAAAACAGCATTCTTCCATCTTAGAAACATTGCCAAACTACGAAATATGTTACCTGTTTCTGATGCAGAAAAGCTAGTTCATGCATTCATGACCTCTAGACTGGACTATTGTAATGCACTGCTAGGTGGTTGTCCTGCATCTTCAATAAACAAGCTACAGGTAGTCCAAAATGCAGCGGCTAGAGTCCTTACCAGGTCAAGAAAATATGATCATATTACCCCAATTTTACAGTCTCTGCACTGGCTACCTATTAAGTTCCGTATCAGTTACAAAATATTATTACTTGCCTATAAGGCCCTTAATGGGCTAGCTCCTGCGTACCTAACTAGTCTTCTACCACGCTACAATCCATCACGCTCCCTAAGGTCGCAAAACTCTGGACTTTTGGTAGTACCTAGGATAGCAAAGTCCACTAAAGGAGGTAGAGCTTTTTCGCATTTGGCTCCCAAACTCTGGAATAGCCTTCCTGATAACGTTCGGGGTTCAGACACACTCTCTCTGTTTAAATCTAGATTAAAGACACATCTCTTTGGCCAAGCATTCAAATAATGCATATCATAATCTTGTACTGCAGTTATATCTGATCAAATGCACATTATTATTCTTTAGCTTGGGTTAAACAAATCAATTTTGCTTGGTTGGAACAGCAGCTACGCTAATTATGTCCCTATTTGTTTCTCTGTTTTTGCCACAGGATTGAATTATTTAGCACAGTGGCTAGATTAACAAATAACCAGACACCACCCGATTTAAAAATTCCCTCACAGTTTAATAGTAATGACTTTATGAATTTCTTCACTGATAAAATAGATAACATCAGAAATACAATAACAAATGTAGATTGTCTAATACTTCAGCTTCATTCATCGCACCCAAAGATAAACTGTAGTGCTTTACAACTATAGGACAGGAAGAGCTAAATAAACTTAACACTGCATCTAAACCAACAACATGCCCGTTAGATCCTGTA